AATGCCTATGACTGGGTGTTGTTTAAGCATCACCACGAGGTACAGCTAGTGGCCCTCAGTCTGACACCTCTTATTTCAATCTTGAACCTCTGCTGAACATATGTACAATCAAACCTTCTGAAATGACTGGTAGTTTTGGGGTTGGGTCCACTACGGACTAGGTGTAAACAGAAAAACATATTCTTCTGCATGGCGGATGCCAGTCTCTTGGAAACACAGCAGAGTGGGGAGGGGGGATGGTAGAGAAAGGGGGACTGGCCTGGCCCACACCTGACCGGGATGGGGGGGGTGGGCCAGCCCCTATCTGGAAAGCAGCATAGCCTGGCCCCAAACCAACTGTGAAGGGAGAGGGAGTGTGGCTCAGCCCCAATCTGACTGGGCGGAAAGAGAGGGCATGGTCTGGCCCGGAACCGGCTGCACAGTGGGAAGGGGTGCAGGGAGAAGAGAGCAGCAGGGAAGGTGATAGTATTAACTGCCACTGCTCCCCCAGCACCAAATTTCCCAATCTGCGGTGAGTCCCACTGGCCAGGTTCCAAGGCTTCAAGGGTTGTACCTTAGGCTAGCAAGGGTACTGATGGTGAATTTGTGCAACAGACAAAACTTAAAAATATATATATACAAAAAATACAGTGGACACAATGTCCAGATAACCAGAAAAGCAACTTGTGGGCTTACAATTCATACAAATGATAAAACAAGACTGAAAACAGAATCTCCCTCCACTTGTTGATGTTACAGGGGCCCTTGAACCCTACCCACAGACCGCCACACTATGTCCAACTGTGCAGTATCCAGCAGTAGCTAAGAATGTTTAACACTCAAAAACAAAGGAAAAATTATCACATCCAATTCTAAAACCAGCATGCTCTGTCTGCTGCCTTTCTGGATTATGTCAAAAGAGGACAGACCCCAACAGTCAGTAGTATATGTGAAAACACCATCCGCTCCCTGACCTCGATGTCTTAATGGATGGTGTTAGCGATTATTGTTGTGGTATGATGGACAGGGGAAATAGATATACCCCTCCCATTACTGAAAACTGGAGAAGCACATCCCATTTCATACCCACAAGATAAAGAACAAGCACCTACAAGAAAAGCCACAAAAATTTAACATTTGTGTGGGTTACAGGGCAAATTATATTAAAGATGAATAACTGCTCTACATAGTTGCCCTTTATTTTCACGGTAGCTTTTAAGCAATGAACCAGAATTCCCCAAGAAAAAGCAGTGGGGCTATGTGCGTGTGCTCTGATTAATCTCATCAGTTCATTTTCCTGGAAACGGGATGCCCAAGATGCCATTGTTTCTATTATAAGTGTTCATCTGTTCTGGTTTCAGCTTGATTTTCATGTGTCTGCTTTGCTTAGCTGACTTCTTTTTAATAAACAAACATTCTCAACTGACATGCAATTAAATTAAAACAGCGTAGCTGTAATCTTCCAAACCAGATTTTTAAAATTATTTAAAAAAAGAACTGTATGGCATATAGAAATCTGAAATAGTGTTATAAAGAATCATGGAATTCTTAATAGCTGACATTCATATCAAACAAGAATTTAAATAAGGGATTCTTGTTTCCTCAAAATGCTTCTATTTATGTGAAAGTACAGACAATACGTACACAAACATAACCCCTAAGTTAGAAGCATATTTAGTTACCACAATTATTATTTATTATTTTGGACACATCCCCTTTACAAGCTCAATGTTGTTATTTTAGAATTCCTGGTCAGAATTAATCACTTTAATTAGTTACCTCAAACAACAAGCTATCTTTTTACATTTCATTTTACTTCAGACCCACATTTGCTAAACTGAAAATACATTGCTATGTAAACTATCATAAAATAAAATAGATATCTGTATTTATAAAGACCCTTTTCCTTCTGTAGAATTTAAGTGCTAATTATACTGTTCATGCTACAGAATATTTATTGGAATGTCAGTAATGTGTTTTTAGATAGCAGCAGATGTAAATGTAGACCATCATATTTAAATGTGCATTATGGAGAAAATAACATTCTGTTCTAGGCAAAAATACACACATGGGAAATTTCTTTCCTCTCCTAAGTGAATTATGTATGGTGAAAGGATTTTCAGCACTGCATGTTATGCCATAGGCAAGCAGATTTGCACATTAATACATGTATTTTCTATATAAAAATATATGCAAATACAGTAAGCTACAAAAGGTGTAAAGCTAGGATGCCAGCGCTACCCCCATATCCTATCTATTTATAGAATAAAATTAGGCAGATTCAGAGGTGGGAAAAAAAGGAGACAACTAAAAACATCAGCCCAGAAAAGCAAAGTTGACAAGGAAAGAGAGATTCACTAGCTTGCCTTAGCTGCTTCCACACTTCAAAAGTGGAAAGCGCTAGAGAAGTATTGCTATTATTAGTTCTTCAGGTCAGAGGCAGACAGTGCGTGGTATTGTTTTAAGCTGTTGCCGAGATGTTTTATAGTTTATATACATACAGGTATCGCATATTGAGAATTTTCCAGTTTAAGAAGACAATACACAGACACACACACACACACACACACACACACAGACCAAGACTGTGAGTACTCACAGCTCTGAGTACAGGAAGTGCAGATTGCCCACATTGTCTATGTAGTTTGCAGGACTTAGCCAAGGTAGAACCAATAACAGAAGAGCCTTCATTTTCAGTGCAAGGCTGGCACTGCTGCTAGGTTTCCTCCTTCCCACTTTCTCTCTTTCTGAGGATGGGACACAGAACTTCAAGCTTTTGTCAGCCAAGCCCTTTCTAAATGAGCCTTTCCATTTCAAAACAATGGTAGCCCATTATGAATCAAAATTAAATCCCTTAAACGAAGCTACGCTGAAAAATCATTGACCTGTAAGAGGATTACTTGATTTGATTCTCAGATGGGTGGATGTGAGGGTTTAGGGACAGCACAGCATGGTTGGCGAGACAGTGACTTATGCTGCAGAGCAGGATGATGCACAGGAAAGAGACCTGCCTCCTGCAGTATTCAGAGTGGTTCTTCAGAAGCAGCTGGTACATTTACATCATTGGCCAGAAGCAGATGGGGCAGGAGCTAAACTGCATCAAGGAAGGGTCCAGTCTAGTAGTTTGTACATGGAGAGGGGCGGGGGGTGGGGAGGAGGAGGGAGCACTCCCGTGGAGTTCCTATGCAAACTATGTAAGAGGGTCACACCTTTTAAAAAAAATAAAACACCACAAAGGATCAGTGTATGTTCCCAAAAACACAAACACAGTCAGACATTTTTGTACAAATAGATTACGAACCAAGGACACACCTTCTGGGTGAAAAATGTACATATAAAAACTAGTTATCAATGAGCATCTTTTACATGAATGTCCATGCTGATTCCAATGAGACATTAAAGTTCCCTAATTAATTACATGCACAAACACACAACAAACTCACCTGGTTCCATCAATGACTTCATTTCTGATCAGGAGTGAGCTCTCTCTTTGAGAACAAGGATCAGTTTGAGATTGATTTATGCAAGAATAGAGCATTTGCTGGCTATTCTGATATTTCTAATTGGGTCCGTTGTGATTTATTCACCAAAAGCCGTAGTCACATTTAGTTGAGATTTCAGAACACGGTTGGTCCAGTCCTCCACGGACATCAGATTAATTTATTAGCAGAGTCACACACCTTCTCCCACCTATTGATTAACCAGTGTTAAAAAGAACACTGTCATTTCAATCTGCACTGTGCCTAGGCATTGCCAGACTCCTTGCCTGAAGAGCACGCTGCCCTTCTCGTCTCCTGCACTATTAAGAACTGGAAGTCAGATTGCAAGCAGGGTTTCTGCACCTCAGTAGACTGAATTAGTCAAATGCATGAATATTTCGAGTGATAATTGCCAGTTGGCTGTACTTTAACATACAGCACCCTGCCAGGTATCTACAAATACAGGGCTTGAAAATCCCCATGCGGGTGACTGTTTTAGAGGCAAGGAATCTCAGGAAGTCATTTAACCTATGTGAAAGATGCGTTGGTGTGATATGGCCCCTGGAAAAGCCCAAAGGTATGGATTTGGGATCAATCACCAAAACGCCATCCGCCAGAGAAGCCCTGCCCCATTTGCACTTCTTCCTCCCTTGCCTGCTGCCACCTGGTAACTTGATCCCCACCCTCAGGAAGGGGACAGGGGGAGGAAAATGTAACATGAAGTGGTGGGAGCTTCCTAATGATTTGGTTAGCCTACACTTGTACTGCCTTGGCCCACATGTTTCAAGGACTGAGGGGCAGATAGTACTAGACAGGGCACCATACAATAAGGCAATGCTCTCTTTCCAGTTCCAGCTCCTTAGGATGTGGAATTTTGTGGAGCTCAATCAGGCAGGATAGGAGAGGGATAGTAGTAGCTCACAGCTGAGTCAGTTCTTCCTCTTCCATTTGGACCAGGCCAGGGTGGGGCAGAGGCTCATGCCTTCTTGCATTTAAAGAGCAGACTTAAAAAGGCTAGAGAAAAGGCTATCTGGAAGCCTGACTTTCTAGCCTCATAGTTAGGGAGCCCACCTCGGGTTGAGTAGACTTAGGTTCAAGCCCCACCTCCAGAGATTGATAACCCACAGTATATTTTCTACTTCAGTTAATATATGGGCAATATTAAAATAAAGAAAAGGCAATCAAAACCCCTCACGGTACTTACACAATATATGAGATACCTCAGCTCACAGAACTCAAAGATCATTTTGGATTACTAAATATACACTCTTGCTGTACAATTTACCAGGAGATATACTAATGGTACTATCCATAAGGACCTCAAGCTAGTTTGTTGTATTAAAAAGACAATAAAGTACTTAAAATAATTTAGCTAAATTCAACCCTGGTATAACCCCTTTGAAAACAGTGGATTTATGTCTGGACTGAATGTGATAAATTTACATTTAAACTGACTGGCCATTATAAAACAGGAGTTTATTGGACTCCTTTCCAGTCACTGATGCTCTCAGCCCCTCTCAAGGAAAAAAAAAAATGACATACCCATTTTGAAAATGCTGTTCAAGGTCACAACGCTGCAATATCTCTGAGCAGTGTTCTGTGAAAGGGCAGCTAACCATTAGCTTATCCAGGAGTTTATATACTAATATGCTGGACTTTCTGCAAGACTGAAGAATCACAGGTTTGCGATCCATGGGGCAAAAGTCTTTTTCCAGTAGGAAATTTGTAAGGCAGATTGTGCAGTAAGTATGACCACAAGGAGTGTCCAATGGCTGAAGCAAAGCTTGTAGGCAAATGTGGCATATTAGATCATCATCTACTTCTTCCGTGTAGCTGTACAAGTGGGGCTCTTCTGGTAAATGTGGTTGGCCACAGGTAATACATAAAACTTGATGGCCATCTTCTATTTCTTCTGATGAGTCTTTCTGGCTCATAATCAGATCTGATGCAATTCAAAAGACAGCAGGTAAAAACTGTTCTCTATTTAGAAGAATATCAGCAAGTCCTGTGAACATCAAATCTGTAGGAAAAAGCCAAAGAATTGTGTCTCAGGGTTGGTTTTTTTAATAACATTTTTATGATTTATCTGGATATTCTATATCTGGAAATAAAATGTTCCAGTGATTTTATAGAAAGATTTTACTTTAGGGCAGGAAAACAGCTAATCCTATAATTTATTTTCTATTTGGCTTTACTTCCCCATCTCTGCTATGAAAAAGATATTTATATAGGGAGTTCAAATAATGAGGGGAGAGGAGAATGTTGCTAGTATTTAAGAGTTAAAAACATCAAGCATATATAAAACTGCAGCTCTAAAAGTTAAGCTCTTCCAATATATCAGTTCAAAGCATGTAAGTCACCTGATTGTTTTTCCTACAGGAAAAAAAAATCTATCAGTAACAAAGCAGCATCATGTGAAGGCAAAGTAGTGTGAGGCTGCATGCAGAAATATCATTAAAAATAATGGTTACCTCCCTTGCCATTGGCCCAACACCGAATGGGACACTTTCGTATCTTGTAACCTACTCTAACATACGTATAGTTACACACTTCATTACCCATTCAGCA